GCTCGGTCCATGTAAAATTCTGTTGTTTCCAGGGACCACTGAATACGTCAACATACGTCAAACTAATATATTTAGCTACATGGCGCTAAATGTGTTAAAAGTATCTTCCAGAGCATGATTGAAAAGTTTCGGTGATATTGTGTCACCCTGTCTCACGCCTCTATTTGTTTGCATTGATTTTGTTCCTTCATATACTTTAATTGTTATTTTGGCTTCCTTATATATATATATATAATATATATATATATATATATATATATATGTTCGGAAAGATTTCCGCGGTTAGTACAATAAAACCTAGAGCTAAGATTAATATTATTACTAAAATTAATATCAAACTCACCAGTCTTCCGGGTTGAACCGCGTCGTTGTCCATTTTGCCAAGCTTTCGGCATCCTCTCTGATGCCTTCCTCAGGGCTTCCGAGGTCTCAGTCTCCCGAGCCCCCAGACACTACTACACTGTTCACTATTCACGGCACTGTCACTGTCACTACTACGGCTGGGAACATGAGACGGTTCATTTATACCGTCGAAGATGGCGTGGCCTAGGTGGGGGTTGGGGTGGGGGTTGGCGCGAGAATTGGTGCTGGGGTTGGCGCGAACATTTTCGACTGTGGATTTTTGGTTCGAGGATGGAGGGGGCGATATTTTCTTTATGAGAGGTCTCCATGTAGAAGGTAACCGTATGGCGTCATCTCTTTTATTAAGACAATTTGGCCTTTTTTCTATTTCTATGGCTTCTCGGATGATTCTTGGTTTATAGAAGCGGATGGGGGCTATGGTTCTGGAGTTTTCAAAATCGATTTTATGACCTGTATGAAGATGGTGTTGACCAAGAGCTGAAATTGAATCGGAATTGCGAACAGAAATGGAATGTTCATAAATCCTGTTTTGGATTCTACGGTTTGTTTGGCCTATATAGGATCGGGGACAGTCTGCACAAGGTATTTCATAAACTCCGTGTTGTTCATTTGGAATATTATCTTTGATAGATCGGACAAGAGATGAAAGTTTTTGTTGGGGGGTAAATATTGTTTTTATTCCTCTTGGTTTCAGAATTCTTTCGATTTTGTCAGTGACACCTTTGATATAAGGAAGAAAAGCTTTCGTATGATAAGGGTCTGAGTCTTTGAGTTGAGAATGAGTGGGAGATTGATGTCTGTGAATGCTCCTATTGATGTGATTTTCGCGGTAACCGTTTTGGATTAGGGCTTGTTTTAAACAAGAAAGCTCAGCGGGTCTACTTGCATCATCGGAAAGGCGTATTGATCTGGAGACAAGGGTATTAATGACTGAATTAATTTGTGAAGGTGGATCGTGAAAAATCTTCAAGAACACCTCGAATATATGGCCTACCCAAAATTCATAAACCGGATATCCCTCTTCGTCCCATTGTCAGTGCATACAACTGCCCTACACAACCCTTGGCCAAGTATTTGGCCAAAACTCTACAACCTTTCGCCGAAAATGCTTCATCCTTCGTCAAAAACTCTTTTCATTTCATCGAACTAGAGTAGACCCGCTGAGCTTTCTTGTTTAAAACAAGCCCTAATCCAAAACGGTTACCGCGAAAATCACATCAATAGGAGCATTCACAGACATCAATCTCCCACTCATTCTCAACTCAAAGACTCAGACCCTTATCATACGAAAGCTTTTCTTCCTTATATCAAAGGTGTCACTGACAAAATCGAAAGAATTCTGAAACCAAGAGGAATAAAAACAATATTTACCCCCCAACAAAAACTTTCATCTCTTGTCCGATCTATCAAAGATAATATTCCAAATGAACAACACGGAGTTTATGAAATACCTTGTGCAGACTGTCCCCGATCCTATATAGGCCAAACAAACCGTAGAATCCAAAACAGGATTTATGAACATTCCATTTCTGTTCGCAATTCCGATTCAATTTCAGCTCTTGGTCAACACCATCTTCATACAGGTCATAAAATCGATTTTGAAAACTCCAGAACCATAGCCCCCATCCGCTTCTATAAACCAAGAATCATCCGAGAAGCCATAGAAATAGAAAAAAGGCCAAATTGTCTTAATAAAAGAGATGACGCCATACGGTTACCTTCTACATGGAGACCTCTCATAAAGAAAATATCGCCCCCTCCATCCTCGAACCAAAAATCCACAGTCGAAAATGTTCGCGCCAACCCCAGCACCAATTCTCGCGCCAACCCCCACCCCAACCCCCACCTAGGCCACGCCATCTTCGACGGTATAAATGAACCGTCTCATGTTCCCAGCCGTAGTAGTGACAGTGACAGTGCCGTGAATAGTGAACAGTGTAGTAGTGTCTGGGGGCTCGGGAGACTGAGACCTCGGAAGCCCTGAGGAAGGCATCAGAGAGGATGCCGAAAGCTTGGCAAAATGGACAACGACGCGGTTCAACCCGGAAGACTGGTGAGTTTGATATTAATTTTAGTAATAATATTAATCTTAGCTCTAGGTTTTATATATATATATATATATATATATATATATATATATATATATATATATATATATATTGGCAATTAGTTCCTTATATCTGTGGTCAATTCTGCTGTTAATCAAAGAACTTTTCACTGCCCAATGTTCGACACTGTCGAAAGCCTTTATTTCAGCATCTCTGCAGTTATTCCATCTTTTCCAGGCAATTTGTTATTTTTCATTTCTATCAATACCTTCTTTATTTCTGATTTGCTTATTTCTCGCTGTAGCTCTGAGTTGACATTTTTTATTTTAGCTTAAGTTGGTTTCTAACTTCTTCTAGTGGTTCTTTTTTTGTTTTATATAATTCTGAGTAGAAATGGTGGATTATATATAATCCACCATACAGAGATATATATATTAAATAAATGACAATAATTTATGGAATAATAGATTTTGTTTGTTCCTGATCATATAATTTAAAATACTAAACAGCACGGCATATAGGAAATTACATTACGAACTTTTATTGTAAGAGAAAAATGTGCTGTGAAATATTGTTTGATGATGTAGATAATGTACTAAAAACTAAAAAATAATTCGTTATGTCGTAGTTACCAATCATCACACCTCTCTCCTCATCAATCTTGGTACTTGATCAGATAAAACAATTAAATCCTTGAGCACAGAGTATTCTGAGTAAATATGTAAATATAATTTTTAATAACGATAGAAATTTCAACCGCCCAACGATTTTATTTTTGTGTTTTGATTTTTTTTTTTTTTTCTAATTTTGATATGAATTTCATATGTCGATGGAAATGGACTGTTGTCAGTGTTATTGTTATCGGTAGAACTACTAAACTTCTGTTTTATAGATCGAGCATACTATACTTTTCTTCCAGTTGTCGGGTATTTTCTCTTCTGGTCATATGTCTTTGATCAGCTCGTGGATGTGCCTTGTTAAACCTTATACAATTTTGCTTGTATTTCGTCTACTCACGTAGCTTTATTGTCTTTCTGGGCCTTAATAGCTTCGAGAACTTCCTCTATGGTTGAAGCTTCTACTCCATTATCTACTTCATTCTTTTCTAGGTAGTTGGTACCCATTGCATCTTACACATGGATGTATAAACATAGATGGACACAGCAATAAGATACCTTTAAAACACAATGTTTTGAAGTTTTAAAGTTTCGATAGAATGTGATGCTTCCGCAATGAGCATAAGCGTGCTTGAATTTTTACTCGCGAGCTTTTATTCAAATTTTAAAAAATTGGAAGTAGTAATAATGTATAAAAACACGTTCAAAGAATTAAAAAAAAACGAAAGTTTAACTATTAACAAATCACGTCTTTATAGAAAAATTAAAATACAATTTTATTTGCTTTAAAATTAATACAATTAAATATAGTTGAATTCAAGTTAATTTTTTAATAGTATCAAAATAATGCTACATTAAAAAATCTTTATATTTTCTCCTTAATTTGCTACCCAAATAGTTCGATCGTCAATATTATTTGGAAACCTACATAGAAAAATAAATGAGTTTTATTCAGTTCACTAATTTATTTGTATCCATGAGAAATATTAAATTAAAAAGGTGCTAAACAGATCTTTTTTAATCAGATGATGTCTACTTACAATTTATAAATGTCTACTAATTTCATGAACTCATATCTTATTCAATACATTAATGAACATGAATAAACCCAATGGTACGCCTATTAAAATGTAAACAAACACGCTTCCTCATTTCCTCATCTTAAATAATGTAAATTGTGTGTACTTACAAATGAAATGAGAGATCGGGATGTAAATATTTCGTATATTTTATTTCACTTTCCACAAATATCACTCAAAATAACAGTAAAATGTAAACAAACATGGAACAGCATTTGAAGTTTGACGTAGATCCATAAGACAGAGAAATGTAAACAACCGTTGCCATTTATAAATAGTTTTCAGTGCTTTTACATATAAAATAATTGATTGATATCTATTATACGCTATTATTAAATGATAATGCACACTATGTGCACACTTGATATTTTAATTACAATTAAATATATTAATATAACCAATAAATTATTATTTTGATAGCACCTGTAGAGTATAAAATACGGAGTAATATTTTCAGCGACTCGCGAATAAGAAATTTTAAAATAAAACGTGACAACAGTTGAAGGTGTTGAGAATGTGACCTATTCAAATAATTTTGACTTCACAATTTTATGTAAATAACTGAGTCCATCTGTGTTTATACGTCCATGATCATACATGTCTACTTGTGTACCAAGTAGGGTCTGAAAATAATACATTCAGGTTTCTGTGAATACATTCTGAATTGTATTTCTATAATACATTCACGTAAAAGTCTGTCTAAGAGAGCAGAATTAAAAATAAACTTTCATAAAAGTAAACTTGGCAAGACAAGACTTGGCGTCTTTAACTTCAAGAAGCGTTGATAGTTCTGCTTCCCTCTGGCCTGTTCCGCTTACCTCACTTTAAAGGATGTTTTTCACCCTACATATAGTATAAAATATTAATGAATAAAGTAAAACTCATAAATTTTTATTTTTTAACTATATTTTTATTGTTTTTTAACTTTTTCTTTACTTCCTAACAACATTTTTAGAAATTTTCTTAAAATAAAAAAACCAATTGCAGCTGCAATTAGTGCAATTGTACTAAATAACGCTATCACGTCTAATAACAAGATTTTGTACCATTCAATGTTTAAATATTGCACCTTCAAATGCGGCGCTCCTTTGTTTTCGGCTATGTATTCCACCCAGTAAATGGCTAAATCCAACGGATTAACAGGTCGGCTTCTGAATAGCTTAGATCGTTTTTGCATATTTGCTTTATATCTACAAAAAATAAGTCGATAAAAAATTAGTTTAAATGATATAAAACAATCTAAATTTAAGAATATAACAAATAAAGAAACAGATTAATATAATATTCTGCAGAAAACAATAGATTTTTAAATCTCATACCCCAACAATTTCAGACATTCTTTTACCACCTTCATCCATTTTCTTCGAGGTTGTCCCGTTTTTATTTTTGTACTACCTAATCTTTTGGGAATGCTTCTTCCTGTCTGTCTAATTACGTGCCTAATCTATATTAGCTGACTTTTGTCCTTCTAATATATTAAAGACTACATTATAATGCGCTCCCTAACTTTCGCGTGATTGGTTGGTGGGTGGATCCCAATTTAAAAATTGGCGTGTTTCATGTTTATTAAAATGTCAATAAAATTGAGGTATTGTGGCACAGTATACCGCTAAACAATTTATTAGCAATATATTGTGGTATTTGTCCAAAGCGGATGATATTCACATTTTAGGATTAAGCTGACTAGTACAGTTTTATTAGAAATTAAAATTTATATTTCTTTTGACATTATGTAGGTAAAATTAAATTCAGACATTGTGTTTATTTAATTTTGATATGCTAGTGATGCTTTTTTTTATTAGATATATAGATATTGTTTTAGTTTTTTTGTTTAGGTAATTTTTTATTAAGATTCTTTTATTAAGATTATTAAGATAGAGGTTCCTCTTATTATTTTTATTTCTAGAACATTTATTACCATTATTATTCTCATTAGCTTTCTCTATGTGGAATCGGCTTCTCTAAATATTTTCCTCTAAACTTTTCTGTTCTCTTCCAGGGACTAAGTACCTCTCCGCTTTTTGTATGAGATTATGGTTTTTCAGAAACATGTAATTTCTGTTCATCCCATTTTTTACTGCCCTACATTCAGTACCATACATCATAGCTGGTCTAAAGGCAGTCCTATACAATTTACCTTTTAGTTTTCTTGGTACCTTTTGTATCATACATCACTCAATTTGCCTCTTTCCTTTACCTTCATTACCTATATTCAATTGAAATATTAGAGATAAAATGGTAATACCAATCCTAAAAGCCGAACATTAACATCTTTTATGAGTTCTTGTCTATCTAAGCCAACTACTCTATCTGGTCTTGAAATTTCATCTTTAAAAAAATATTCTAAATATTTTGTTTGTATTCAACTTAATTTTAATCATTTTTCTTCAAGGACCTGTCTCCGCTACTCTTTTCTACTAATACCCAGGAGGTTCAGTTGTTATCTAATCCAGCACAAATGAGAATAAATATGGGCGAAACCCTGATTTTCACCCATTTTTACACAAAATTTGCCAGTTTCACCTGTAATCGTTCTAACACTATAATAGTTGTTTTAACACTATTATAGTTGTTACTTGCTCATACTCCACTCACATATTCAGCCGCCACTCCTTTCCTACTTAATCTCTGCCACAGTAGGTTTCTGATATCTTCATCATGTGCTTTCTCAAGTTTAATAATACAATATGTAAATTCACTCTAAATTGTTAAATTAGCTCTTTTAATAAAAATTGCTTGTTGTAGACCTGCCTTGCCTAAATCCAAATTGACATTTATCCATTTTCATATTTTAGAACCTTACACTGAATTCTGTTAGATTTTACCACAAATGTAGGATAATAAAAAGATATATTGTGAATTGAGTGCTATGAAAAATTGTCATTGTCAACAAAATGAAGCAGAGGTTTACTGGAAATAACGATTGCAAACCAAAGAAAATACTAACTAGCTATATCTAAAATATCTTTATTCTTTATTAAAAATCTGGGAAATCAAAGGAGGGGAGGCCGTTATTGGTGCAATGGCGAAGGAAAACCCCTCTCAAGCTCTCCTAAATTGTATAGGACTGCCTTTAGACCAGCTATGATGTATGGTACTGAATGTAGGGCAGTAAAAAAGGGGATGAACAGAAATTACATGTTTCTGAAAAACCATAATCTCATACAAAAAGCGGAGAGGTACTTAGTCCCTGGAAGAGAACCGAAAAGTTTAGAGGAAAATACTTAGAGAAGCCGATTCCACATAGAGAAAGCTAATGAGAATAATAATAGTAACGAATGTTCTAGAAATCAAAATAATAAGAGGAACCTCTAAATCTTAATAAAAAATTACCTAAACAAAAAAATTAAAACAATATCTATATATCTAATAAAAAAATGCATCACTAGCATATCAAAATTAAATAAACACAATGTCAGAATTTAATTTTACCTACATAATGTCAAAAGAAAAATAAATTTTAATTTCTAATAAAACTGTACTAGTCAGCTTAATCCTAAAATGTGAATATCATTCGCTTTGTACCAATACCACAATATATTGCTAATAAATTGTTTAGCGATATACTGTGCCACAATACCTCAATTTTATTGACATTTTAATAAACATGAAACCCGCCAATTTTTAAATTGGGATCCACCCACCAACCAATCACGCGAAAGTTAGGGAGCGCATTATAATGTAGTCTACCAACCAATCACGCGAAAGTTAGGGAGCGCATTATAATGTAGTCTATATATTAAAAAGTTCTTTTAATTCAGCGGATCTTCTACTTATTAAGACAAGATCAACTGAATCGAGTTTTACCAAGAGTACCTTTTTGGTGTAAAATTGTATGACGTTTAAGTCCACTTGGATTTTTGAGTAATAATTCTACCCTTAAAAAAGTTGTGTTGAATAATACTTGGTACGAACGCTGTAACTAACGCCCTCTGTGAGAGTCAGATATAAAAACAAATTCATGGGATGTATATATCAGCTTCCAAAACATATTCGTATAAAATTTCATTGCAATGTTGCCAGTAAGTTAGGAAAAATCATAAAAAATTATATTAACATTTTTTTCTTCAACGCTTTTTGTCTTGAAAACGGATGGAGTTCCAAAAATTTGTTACTGAGCAAACCCCAACTATTTTTCAATTTTTCACCTATCCTAGAGACGGTGTTACCTTTTTTTTTGAAACACCCTGTACAGATATTACACTTGTCATTTTCTTTTTCTTTCCACAAGTTGTTGACTGGGACAGTATCAGAGGACTTTTGAGGGTCCACCAATACATTGAGAAAATCAGCGTTGAATGCTATGGTTTTGTCTAAGATCTGTTTTTTAGGAAACATTACCAGTAGATGAGCGTCCCAGACGAAATCCACTCTGTTCTTCTGAAGTTAGCAGCTTTCATTCTTTCTTTAATGATTTTCCTATACAACCTACCCACAGAAGGTGTGATGCATATTCCCCTACGGTCATTGAGGTCTTTTGTGTTTCCTTTTTTATATATTGAGCTTAAGTATTCCATATTCCTTTCCTTCAGTATTTTCCATTAAATAAACATTTGTTAAATATTTGTTTTAATTCTTGTACTAATGCCGAAGGATCATATTTTAGGAGTTCTGTAGAGCCAGTTGCTCTGTTATTTTTCATTTTTTTAGCGCATTTCTTATTTCGTTTTCAGATATATCTGCAACTTGTGTTTGTCTGTCTCTTATTTTGAATATCGTGGAAGTACATAGATATATTTTTCTTGTAATAACAATGAGTTATATTTACTCATTGGTCCACTTGTATCCACTGTATTTATCCACTTGTATTGGTTTTATCTTTAACTTTTTTTTTGGTATTCTGTCTGAAGTTGCTTAACGTTTTCCATGCACTATTCCGTTTTTCCATTCACTACATTACTGCACACATGTATAGTTGGTTGCCTAACGACAACCACATATTTTCTTTCCACATCTCATCTTATATACATAATTTTAAAACAACATTGATGGTTGATGCTGTTATATTAATTTATTTTATTTTCACAATTTTAAATAACGTTAGCATTTATCTTAAGAAAAACATACAGTTATATTGACTGCTCTGTTACGACGTCCGTCCTAACTTAAGAACATTGTCATTCCAATCAGTTGCTTCCATACAGTCCTCGTAGACACACCGTCTCAGGACTAGCAACTTCAACGTGGAGTCATATGTCGCCATGTTACCTAATCCAACGGTAACTTTAACATCTTAACATATTATAAGAAATATTGTAAATTAAATGTAATTAATTATTTTTTAACGGGTTTTTACCCATATATTTAGTGGCTAAATTCATGTACTCCTAGTAAGTATTAACCACACTTTGCATTAACCTTAGTCAAAATTTTAAACATACGTTTAAGTGGTTACATATTTTCTAGGACACTGATGATGGAATATGGATTCCGAAAACGTTTTGTCTAACTTAGCCCGTTTGGGTTCTTAAATATATACCTTTTACAAAGGATTTTTAATAAATTTTTTTAATATATGGTATACAGCCAACTACAGGAACGTAGATTCCTTGTGGGTTTTCCATGCCTTCTTTCCTTTTGAGCTTCCCATTAAGCTATCTATATCTTTACATTTTTTTGCCAAAATTGCTTTTTTCTGCTTTATATTTCTTTTTTTGTTTTATAAGTTTGCCTTATGTATTTTTTCTGTTTTCTTGATTTCCTGTAATCAGCCACTTTTGGTAAGCTTTCTTCTTTTCTTTTATTTGATTTTCTACTTTTATTGTGCACCAATATAGATTTTGTTTTTATAATTTATTATCAAATCAAATCATATCATTTTCCCTTCCAATGGCTTCTTCTGCTACTAGGTGTATTTCGGTTTTCATGGTTTCATATCGTTCTTCATTTGTTATTTTTTGTATATCTTTCATTTTTGATGTTAGTCTCAATTTATAAAAAAAAAGAAATCGACCCTTGGTTTAGTTTACCTGTAGGGTGCCTTTTTAATTTTATGTTTTCCTCCTCTTTATTTCTTCTATATATTCTTGATCTCACTAAATGGTTGTCTGACCCACAGGTGGCTTATCTATTTTATCTCTCATTCCTTCTACTCTCATTTCTTCGACCTTGATAATTGACTCTTGTCCAACAATTACATAATCTATTCATCATCATCAGCCGTTTTGAGTCCACTGCTGGACATAGGCCTCCCGTAAATAATTCCAATGCATTCTATCTTGAGCATCCTGAATCCAGTTGTGCTGAATGCGCTTGATGTCATCTGACCACCTTGTTGGAGGACGTCCTCGATTACGACAAGCATCGTGTCTAGGTCTCCATTCCAGAATTTTCTTCTTTCACCTTCCATCTTTTAATCTGGCAACATGCCCCGCCCAGTTCCATTTCAATGTTGTAATTCTTTGAACTGCGTCAGTAACACCAGTTTTTCTCCTAACTATTGTATTTGATACTCTGTCTCTGAGGAATACATTCAGCATTGACCTCTCCATCGCTCTCTGTGCCATAAAGAGGTCAATTAGGAGAAAAACTGGTGTTACTGACGCAGTTTAAAGGGGTAACACACTTTACGATCCTGGTAAAGTTAGGTCTACTACAGGTTTGCGACCCTGTCCTGCCTACGTGAGCCGTGAACCCCTGTAAAATGAGAAACATAGTCTATTATTGGTTTTTTATTAAGAACTGATTTTATATATGTATATTTACGTATCTCTTTGTGTTTAAAGAAAAATATTAAATATTCTTAACTGGTCACATAGGTCAATCAGTCTCATTCCATTCTTATTCCAGACATTTTCTTCATATGGGCCTACTATTTGGTTGCTATTCTTTCCTCCAGTTCTTGCATTAAGGTCCACCATCAATAGAATTTCTTTCCGAGCGTTTTCTAGTGTTTCTTTTAGAATTTATTCAAACTAATCGTTTTCTTATTTTTCACTGTCATCAACTAAATAACTCTTGTACTTACTTTGAATCACTTAGTATCCTATCGATTTTATCAACCAACGCTGGTTCAGTAACTGTTCGAATTGGTAGATCTAAGCCCAATCCATTTTCTTCTACTAAAATTCCATTTCTAAACTGATCCGCAAAAATGGGTAAAACTAAAACCGGAACTGCATTGTACACGGCTTCTTGAAGACTCAATAGACCACCATGTGTAATAAACAGTTTTACGTTTGGATGAGCTAAAACGAAATATTAAATTGGTTTTTGCACGAACTGTTATTGCTAGATAATATAGTTAGATACAGAATAAACCAAAAATTTTGTTTTTACAGAGCCTAAACAAATAGTACTACCACAGATAAAGCAATGGAAAGTGGGATTCTAATGGAAAAGTATCAGTTTATTGAAAGTGTTACACCTCTTTATAAATGTTTAAAATAATATCCACCAACGTTTATACATGTACTATAAAGTAATTACTATTTAAATGGGAATAAGCCACAATTAAAAGTTACGATACGTTTATTGACATTTTAATTTCCACTTCAAAAATCAGAAGTATCCTTGCATATTATCCATTCCAGAATAAACTTAAAAGGTACGATATATACCCGTAGTATACAAATAATGGCATACGCTGATGATATCGTCATAATTGGAAGAACCCAAAATGAAGCTGTGGAGGCTTTCACACGTATCAAAAATGACGCAGAAAACATCGGACTTCTGATTAACATCCAGAAAACTAAATATATGCCGGCCATATCAAGAATTCAACAAAATAACTTAGAGGTGCAACACGAAACGATAGAAATGATAGAAGAATTCTGCTACTTAGGATCACTGATAGACTACAAAAATAACACATCCAACGAGATAAAAAAGAATATGAGTGGCTAACCGCTGTTATTTTGGCCTGGGCCCTCAACTAAGATCAAGAAGTATGTCAATAGTAACAAAGTGCAAACTTTATAAAACAATAATACGCCCAGTGCTCACATACGGATCGGAAACATGGGCAATGACGACCCGAGATGAAGAGTTACTATGAGTCTTTGTAAGAAAAGTATTGAGGACCATATATGGCGGAGTAAACGAACAGGTTCTGTGGAGAAGGCGATATATCTTTGAACTCTATAGACTTTTTGGTGATGCAGATATTGTGAAGACCATCAAAATAAACCGCCTAAGGTGGGTGGGCTACGTTATGCGGATGGATGAGAGTGATCCCACTAAAATAACTATGCTAAACAGGTCGGTCGGAAGAAGAAGAAGGGGGCAACCTAAACTCAGATATCTGGACGATGTACAGGAAGATCTGAGGGAGATTTGAGTGAGGGGCTGGAGAAGACAGACACTCGATAGGGAAGGATGGAAGAATGTTTTGAAGCAGGAATACAGCATAAGTAAAACGCAGTTCGGTTTTAGATGCGGTTTTGAAACTCGAAAGCCCCTCTTTGCAATACAAGTCTTAATTCAAAAATTCCTGAATCAACGGAAATATGTTTATGCCTGTTTTATCGACTATGAGATAACATTCGATACTATCAAAAATGACAAACTCATAGAACTATTCCATATTACAGGACTTGACACTAAGGACATCCAGATTATAAAAAATCTATATTGGAATCAAACAGCCCATATAAAAAATGGACATATGGTGAGTGAAAATGTAACCATTTCGAGAGGGGTTAGACAGGGCTGTATTCTTTCGCCACTGCTTTTTAACCTATACACGGAACAAATATTTCTAGATGCACTGAAAGAGTACAACGAAGGCATCAAGATTAATGGCATACCAATAAGTAATTTTCGATACGCAGATGATACTGTTATACTGGCCGAAAACATCGAAGATTTACAGATGATGTTTACTAGCATGTTAGTCAAATCTAAAGCAATTTACTTCTATCTAATTTTACTATCATAATTTGTAGAGTATATAGATTACAAATAAAAACTTACCCAAGACGTCTTGTTGAGAAAACCACTTCCCGACTTTAAAGTTGGCAGGTTTACTTGAAAACACACTGTCGTCCCATTTCCAAAGTACTTTTTCCTTCCTTTTCTTTAAAGCGTTTATGATGGCTTCTACGGTGGCATTACCGAGAGACGAAGGCATAACATTGCTACCCACACTGAAATATATAACTCCCTCTTTGGCTTCATCCAGGAATATCTGCAGTTCCTTAGGTAACTTTTTCGGGGGAGTAATATGAAAACCTCCAATCGCTATCATACTTGGTACCAAAGGTCTTGGGTCATTAATAGATTCGTGATGGTTAACTAGTGTGAGTGAGACGTTGTATAAAAAATCCCTACCTTTCGCACAATGAGGAAAGTGTTGATTCACGAACTCCTCCTGTACCGGTAAAAATATGAAATCATTCATAATTCGTCTTGCAACTATAAATAAGCTATTCATTCCTCTTTGCCAAATATTCATTCTTGTAGGGAAATCTTGATAAAGGTCTGGCACATACGACGGCACTTCTGGATTACCAGACGGTAAGTTTACCCACATGCTGGGTGTACATGTGCTTAGAGGTATAACAGGAGCATTGAAATGACAACCTAAGGCTTTAAGGGCATCATTTACAAACTGTTCCAAAATTATGACGTCGAAGGTTTTACCGGAGTTTAGTAATTTCTGAAAATTTGGGTGTCTCAATGTAAAATTAGTAATGGCATTTCCAGGAGTGAAAGTACGATAAATTATTTCTATTGGGTTCATTTCTCCAAACTCCATCCATTGAGGTACATTCAAATCTAAAAGGTAATTGAATATAATAAAAAAATCATAGTTGGACACATTCAAAAAGTTTGTTTAAAATCAAAAAATGTTAGGTTCTAACCAAGTAACTTCAGTTTGCTCAGTTCAAGAAATTTTTAAGATTAGTACTGTAAATTCAAAAGACAAATTTTTTATAAACTTAAGAGTAAACAACAAAATTTTAAAATATGAAATTGATTCAGGTGCTGCTGTTACCATTGTAAACAAAAATGTATTTGACACATATTTTTCTACACTACAATTACAGAAATCTGATGTAAAATTAACTACATACTGTAAAAATCATTTAAATGTTTTAGGGTTAATTCCAGTGGAGGTTGAGCACCAGGGATTAAGGCAAATGTTAAAGTTGTACGTGGTGGATGGTGAGGGTCAATCACTAGTTGGAAGAGAATGGATACGTGCCCTTGGAATTAAACTACATGAGGTAAATACAATATCACATGAGAACTCTAAAGTCTCAAGTTTATTAGATAAATACAAACATTTGTTTGAAAAGTCAATTGGTGAAATTATAGGTTTAGAAGCTGAAATTCATTTAAAACCTGGTAGTATAGCAAGGTTTCATAAGGCTCGCCCAGTTACTTTTGCATTACGTCCTAAAGTGGAAGCTGAGTTAGAGTCGTTAGTTGATCAGGGTGTTTTACAAAAAGTAGAGTTTTCAGATTGAGCAACCCCAATTGTCCCAGTTGTCAAACACAATCGGGACATACGCATTTGTGGGGATTTTAAAATTACTTTAAATCCCTGTATTGAAGTGGACGAATATCCTTTACCTACCCCTGATGATCTTCTATCTCAGTTAGCAGGGGGCGATAAGTATTCAAAAATAGACATTACAAAAGCTTATTTGCATTTACCTATAAAAAGTAAAATGAAACATTTACTTACACTTAATACTCACAAAGGTCTGTACCGCCCAAACCGTTTAATGTTCGGTATTACAAGTACTCGTGCCAAATGGCAACGTTTAATGGAACAAATGTTAGAAGGAATCGATGGTATTTCTGTGTTCCTAGATGATATAAGAATTACTGCCCCAAATACTGATATACATTTACAAAGACTTGAACAAGTGTTACAAAAATTATCTGAACATAATTTACATATAAATTTAGACAAAAGTGAATTTTTAAAAGACGAAATTGAATACTGCGGATACAAAATAAATAAATTTGGTATTACTAGTTGCTCAGATAAAGTAGATGCAATTGTAAATGCTCCAATACCAGAAAATAAAACTCAAGTCCGAAGTTTTTGTGGGTTAGTTAATTATTACAGACGTTTTTTACAACATACCTCTACAATATTAAAACCTTTAACAAATCTACTTAAAAATCATGTTGAATTTGAATGGTCCCGAGATTGTCAAATGGCATTTGATAAAGCCAAAAGGCTTATTTCTTCTAAAAATGTTTTGTGTCACTACGACCCAAATTTGCCATTAGTCCTTGCAACTGATGCATCCCCTTATGGTGTTGGTGCAGTACTGTCCCATATTTTTCCAGATGGTACAGAAAGACCTATACAATTTGCTTCTCAAATGTTTACCCTTACACAGCAAAAGTACTCTCAAATAGATAAAGAGGCATACAGCATTATTTTTGGTGTGAAAAAGTTCTTCAATTACCTATATGCTAGAAATTTTATTTTATACACTGATCATAAACCTTTAGTTCAGATTTTTGCACCAGATAAAAGTCTACCAGTTTTAAGTGCTACAAGAATGCAGCATTATGCAATTTTCTTACAAGGTCTAAAGTATGATATTCGATACAAAAATACAGATTCTCATTTTAATGCAGATGCTCTTTCACGTTTACCTATTAAAAATGAACAAAATTATACTCATGATGAACCAGACATATTCGAACTTAATCAGATTGAAAATTTACCTACAGATGTTAACAGTTTATCTTTTCATACCAAAAATGATGCTACTTTACAAAAGTTACTATTAGGTTTACAAACTGGTGAGGTTGTTGAAAAACAATTCAGATTTAACGTAGATCAATCAGAGTTTTCACTACAGTCTGGAGTCATAATGAAAGGACAACGAGTTTTAATACCTATGAAATTAAGAAATAAAATTCTGCATGAATTACACACTGCGCATTTTGGTATGGTGAGAATGAAGTCTTTAGCCCGGAGTTACTGCTGGTGGCCTTTTATAGACAAGGATATTGAATCTTTATGTAAAAATTGTTTTCATTGCAACAAGCACAAAAACAATCCTGTTAAGGACAATTCCCATATCTGGGAAACATCTAAATTTTGCTTTGAAAGAGTACATGCTGACTATGCTGGACCTTTTAACGGAGGCTATTACTTCATTTTAGTCGATTCTTTTAGTAAGTGGCCTGAAATACATTTCACGAAAGACACTACTACAAAAACTACAATCGAAATTTGTAGAAAAATCTTCACTACTTTCGGAATACCCACAGTATTTGTTACTGATAATGGTAGACAATTTGATTCTCATGAATTTAAAGAATTTATGAAGAATAATGGTATCACACATAAATTTACTGCACCCTATCACCCAGCGACGAATGGCCAGGGGGAGAGATATGTCCAAACACTAAAAAATTGTCTGCGAGCCATGCACAGTGAAGAGAAAGACAGAGAACTTGAATTGTGCAAGTTACTAATGCAGTATCGTAGAACACCTTACACAGTAACTGGCAAAAGCCCGTCTGAACGTATGCTAGGAAGGCAGATTAGAAATAGATTAGATTTACTTAAACCTTTTACTCATGACAAAAATGCTTACACAGACCAGAGTCTTAGAAATGTTGCTATAGATACCAGAGTCTCAGTGCGAGATTACTTTAATGCCAAATGGCAATTTGGCAAGGTTATACTAAGGTTAGGATTATTACATTATTTAGTTGAGTTAGATGATGGTAACCACTATGATATAAGACTGCTGAAATACTTATATTACAATCAAGTAGTCTCTATCCAAATTGGAGACAGTCCCACTGAAAAAATACCCATCAAACGTGGAGTACGGCAGGGTTGTGTTTTGTCACCCACTCTTTTTAATCTATACTCTGAAAAAATCTTTAGGGACGCTTTGGATGACAGACAAGAGGGAGTAAGACTAGGTGGAGAAGTAATCAACAATATTAGATACGCTGACGATACAGCCATTCTTGCAGAAAGTTTACAAGATCTCCAAACATTACTAAATCTAGTCAGTGAAGCAAGTTATCGGAGAGGCCTAAAAATCAACATTTCAAAGACAAAGTGGATGGCAGTTGGAAAGATCCATATAGATCAAGGTCTGCTTTCTCTTAATGGAGAAGATATAGAAAGGGTAAATCATTTCAAATACCTTGGCAGCTGGTTAAATGTAAATTGTGACTCTGATGAAGAGATAATATCCAGGATCGAAATATCACGTAAGGCTTTTATGACCTGGAAACCAGTTTTATGCAACAGAAACCTGTCAATGAACATTCGTAAGAAGGTCCTGAAATGTTATGTGTGGTCGATCCTATTGTATGGTTGTGAGACATGGACGTTAAAAACCACAATGCTAAACAAGTTAGAAGCATTCGAAATGTGGTGCTATAGACGAATCCTAAAGATATCGTGGGTTTCGCACACTTCCAATGAAGATGTTCTTCAAATGATCAACTCAGAACGTCTGCTCATAAACATCATAAAGAGTAGAAAAACAGAATACTTCGGCCATATAATTAGAGGACCCAAATACCAGTTACTTCGCCTTATAATACAAGGAAAAGTGGAAGGAAAGAGATGGATTGGTCGAAAGAAACTTTCATGGCTGCGTAATATTAGACAATGGTGTGGTTTCACAGTAGAAGAATTATTTCGCGCAGCAGCCGACAGAGAAAGGTTTCAGGAAATTGTAAGCATGATGACGGCCAACGTCTGAATACGGACACGGCACCCAAAGAAGAAGATGATGATGGTAGGACGTGGAGACGTCATATTGACCAAATTAGAGTAATTGGGCAGGATACACCTATAGAATATAACCCAACTTGTTTCATTCCTGATACAGTAACACATAGTATAGTTTCAAGGGAGGTATCTGTCCCTGAACCCAATTCCGTTTCACCACCTACAAATGTACAAGAACTTCTAAATGATACAATAGAGCCAACAGTACCTGAGGCTCACACTGAAGCTGAACCAGTGTTAAGACGTTCAAGTAGAGTATGTAAACCTGTTCAGAGGATGAATTTGTAAGTACATCTTTATTTCAATCTGTATTTATGAATTTTGGTCAAGAGAGGAGGTGTTATATACTTGGCAACACAGGTAGGCAACACCGCTCACTGACACAAGGGAATGAAGTTAGTTAGTTATTAGGCAATAAAGGTTAATGATGTAAAACCACGTTGTATTATTAATTATTACCTTATTTAAGTAAGAAATACCAAATACACAACAATAATAAATTAAATTAGGACAGAAGATAAAAATAAGGTGTAAAGGAGTTAATCCTTAGACGATGCAAATACGTATTTGATCATTATTTATTCGAAGTTGGATAAACCCCAAATGATGTTCCCCGCAAAACTGTACATTCGTTTTTCTTCAAAAAATAGAACCTCAACTCTCAAATCCTTATTAACACGTTCAGCCCCGGTGTTATAATTTTTTTTCTTGCTCAGCATTTTATTTTTGTAAATAAGACGAGAGTCGTGGATGCCTTTCCGCATTTCTGATTCATTTTCAAAAAAAATATTTGACAATCGAGTAATTGCACAACATTTTTGAGGCATCACATTGATGCCTCGCTATCCGAGAACTATAAATTTGTCTGGACAGCGTGGCATTTAAGTGATGCCTCAAACTTTTTCATTCTTGTATGAAGCGACGGAAGTATTTGACGTTATATTCTAAGTCATTCTTTGTTCGGTGCTCTTTGCGTATGGTTATTGTACGAATGTACTATAAAATATTAGATTACACGAATTTTTTCGATGGATTC